GTGTACGAACGCTAAGAAGGTTTGGAATGGGTGCGCGGGGGAGGGGATATTAAACTGTATATAGAATGTCCTTTCTGGACATGGGGGGAGGGGTTGGGGTGTGTCACGGATAATAGTAAGCGGGCGGGGGTGTCACGGATGAAGTAATGAGTTGGGGAGTCGCGGAAGAAAGTGAAAGTGAACAGCAGACGGGGAGTAGATTGAGAAGGGGGATCAGTAAAATTAAGCCCTGCTTGTTTGTAGTGTGATCAATGTTTGGTGTAGTTGTAGATGAGTTTGAAAGCAACTCGTAACATTTCAATATTATTTTGGCAAATTGAACGAAATGACTAGAAAAAAAGATTCGTTCATCTCAATGAGATTTAAACTCAAATCACTACACTGACAGTTGGAGGGACATGGTTAAATATGATAGCCACGCCCAATATCGTAAGATGTTATCTGAGATTTGAACTGAAAACAAACAGGAAGCGCATTTTCAGATTTGAATTTTAGATTACAAGGGCAAACCATTTTTTTTCTTAATGACTTTCCCTGATGAACTGTTCACCAAAAAACTAGCAATGTGAGCTAACTAAATCATGTGGTTAGTTTTGATTCAATTTGTACTTTAAAATAATAGGCTGCTCTTTGTTAGTGTTGCATACATTTTTCATCAGAAAAGAACGGAAAACCAATAAGTAAGTAAATAAGTAAAATCAAGCGTATTGTGGGTCCACATTCTTAAAAACTGAATGATTGTTGTATGAACCATTGTTCAATTTTTATTTGTGTTAAAACTTTATAAAAGTTGCATTAAGGTGTAGAAAGCAGCTTTGTTTTCTGATCAAATATGAAGCCCAGTACAAGCGGTTGTGTAAGGCACTGATATCTTGAAAAGAAGGAGCCGGATATCTGAAAGAGATAAGCAGAAAGATGTATACAGCACATCATCATGGGACCTCTTCCAGACAGGAAGAGCACACCACCACATCCTCTCTGCTTCATCCAGACTCACTTGGGAAAATATTATCTGTTTGTTAAATAATCAAAAGCAGCCGGATCCTATTTGTATTGTAACACAGCATGCGTAGCTTGGGTGATGGCTTGCTTCTGTAGTCTTTGCGTATTCACTTCGTCATACGCTGCAACTTAAGCGGATGACTAATGCAAGATCTGTGATTGGTCAGCTGTGATGAGTGTGGGCTGAGCTGAAAGCCTAAGCCAGGGAATTGGTCTGATTTTCTGGGTGTTTGCCAAGGTCTTTGTATGTGGTTGCTAGGGTATTGCTAGGCCGTTTGCAGAGGTTTCTGTATGGTCACTAGGATGTTTGTTCAGCTTTCTGTGTTGTTGCTAATAATAATAAATTGTATTTGTATAGTACTTTTCCTACTTAATATGCAACTCACAACAAACAAATATTAAGAAACAATATCAGTATATCAGTATGGCGTAAAAATAAACAAATATACATAAATGATAAATGCATACATGCACACACACACACACACACACACATATATATATATATATATATATATATATATATATATATATATATATGTAGTTTGATTTTCTTTTTTATACACACGATTATGCTGTCGAACTGTTGTATAAGCGCAGTATCACACTCGTAGCAGTGCGATATAGCTGTATATTGGCACTAGTGGGAGGTGTGCGTTTGTGTCTCACCAGTGATGACATACAGCCATATCTCACTGGTATGATTGCGATATTGCGTTCATACAACTGTTCGACTATATAAACGTGTATAAAACGTGTATAAAAAAAAAGTTTCAAAACACTTTTGTAAAAGGAACTACTTTCTTCCACCATTCCTTCTCATCTGCAGTTGATGTCAGAACAGCAGAAACAGTTACTAATTCACCAACGTCACTTTAGAGCTAGTATTTGAATGATTCTCTAGCGTAATGTCTAAACTGATGACAAAACAGCTGATTTTGTTCACATTTTAAGATTATAAGGCTAAAATGCCATCATTCTACAGAGCTTTCCCAGTATTTCTCTGTTACAAATGGGAGGTCACAATATCACTATGGTATAAATACAACACTAAACATACAAATGAGAAGGTTGAAAGTCATTTACCTGTTCAACAATGACTTGATCAGCTGTAGTTTGAATTTACACGGTTTTTCTCTTAGGGCTTATTATGAGGTCTCTGTCACCATCTTGTGGATGAACATTGTCAACTGTCTTTGCTTAAAGACAGGCTAATGGCCGCCGACGTGCTGTCTCTCAGAAATTATAAATATTTTAAAATAGGCACTATCCTTATTAATAAACTGAAAAGTTGCAATCCAAACAACTACATTCACGACTAAAAAAAGATCAAAAATAAATTATGTTGTCCAACAGCTGCAATATTTGTCAAACTGTAGAGTGCCCTCTGCTTGTCGCTCTATGTTGGCAGAGTAATACATGAGGGTGAAGGGTTAAGAGGCAGGACGAGTGCTGTTATTTGCAGAATATCACACGGCTTTCAGCCAATCAGATTCAAGAACGAGATAGAACTGTTGTTGTAAAAACATATACACTCCACACACACACACAGACACGGTATATACATACACACTTTACATGCAAAGGCATTGCTGTGTGGTGGCTAGTGTTCTTTAGAATTGCTAAGGTGGTACTAGGCAGTTGTAAAAATGTAATGGTAGTAGTGTTGCTATTTTGTTTCAATAAGCCAATCAGAATTAAGGGATATGTTTACTTTTTATGTTAAGTTAGGCTTACGGTTAGGTTTATGCACTTTTATATGATTGTTATCCAACTATTATTTCCCTCTGAGTTTGGGGAATCAATTATGGTTGGGTTTAGGGGTAAGGAATAGGTATGGATTACATTTTCTAACAATAATGATGTTCCAGGATCAACATGGATGTTCATCTATAGGATTGCTATGTATTTGGCAAAATCATGACATGCTAAAATGTTGCTATGTGATTCCTGGGCAGTTGAGTTTCCTGTATTGCTTGTTAGTTTTCTGTATTGCTATAGTGCAGTGTTTCTCATTCACGTTCTTGGAGGACCACCAACACTGCATGTATTGGATATCTCCTTTGTCTTTCACACCCATTACAGGGGTTTCAGTCTCTGCTGATGATCTGAATTGGTTAAGGAGACATGTAAAATAAGCAGAGCTGGTGGTCCTCCAGAAACGTGGTTGAGAAACACTGCTATAGTGGAGGGTTGTTAGAGTATTTGCATGGTTGTTAAGGCACTGGTATGTACGTTTTTTTAGCATATCTGCATAACGTATTAATTTCTGAAGCATCGTGCAACACTGAGAGTAAAATAAAATTGTACTGACACCCAATTTTTTGGTTGGTGCTGTAACTGCATTTTGTTCTAGTAAAAAAGACAATAAAATCTATTCTAACCCAATTACAAAAACAACCACAACAGGCTCCTGCCAAACATTTGCTTTCATTTTAGCAGTTTGATCGAAAGCAAAGCTCTGACCTTGCCAAGCAACCATGCTGAGTTTTTAAGATGCATGCAGTTCACAAACCCATAAATTAATTAGCAAACAAAATCACAGCCACATTTCAACTTGAGGTGTAATAAAAGCCTCTGCGGAGAACAATGAAGTGCTGAACACCAGCCCATACGAGTCTGCATGCTCGCCAGCTCTGGTCTGGAGTTTCAGCAGGAGTTTAGTTTACTTTGCCAGGGTAAGAAGATAAGTGGAAGTGGTGTTGAACTACAAAAATGAAAGAATGGAGGAGGACTGTCTGAGAGAGCAGAGCACCCCTAAACAGTACCTCTAGTGTAAACTGAACCCTGGCTCAGACAGATCTATGAGCCCATTGAGAAACCCATGGGAGGAAGAAAACTAGAGTAGGAAGGCCAAGACTTGGATAAAAACTGCATCTCCATTATAAGTATTATGTTTCTGAAAAGAAGGCCTGTTATGTTATGTAATTTTTGCTCTCCAATAATAGATAAAATAGAATAGAATTAGAATTAGAATACATTCATTCATTTTCTTGTCGGCTTAGTCCCTTTATTAATCTGAGGTCGCCACAGCGGAATGAACCGCCAACTTATCTAGCAAGTTTTTACACAGCGGATGCCCTTCCAGCCACAACCAATCTCTGGGAAAAATTAGAATACAATCCAATAGAATTTTTTATAATTCACTTATTTACAGTATTTCATTTCTACTTATGTATGTATTCATTCATCCATTAGGTCTCATTCATTCATTTATATAGTATATTCATTATATATACGTTTATATATTTACATAATTTGTTCATTTTCTGGCAACACAGTGGCTCAGTGGTTAGCACTGTCACCTCACAGCAAGAAGGTTGCTGGTTCAAGTCCCAGCTGGGCCATTTAGCAATTCTGTGTGGAGTTTGCATGTTCTCCCCGTGTTGCCGTGGGTTTCCTGCGGGTGTATTTAAACATTCATTTACTCATTCACTAGTTTATTAGGTCAGTGACTAATGACTCACTAATTCGTTCAATCATTCATTCACTCACTCACTCTCTCATTTATTCCTTAGTTCATTTACACACTCATTCATTTGGCTACTGACTATTACTAATCGCTTGCTAATTTGTATGATCATTGGTTCACTCACTCACTAATGCATTAATTTATTTATGAATTCATTCATTTCCCAGAGATGGGTTGCGGCTGGAAGGGCATCCGCTGCGTAAAGACTTGCTGGATAAGTTGTCGGTTCATTCCGCTGTGGCGCCCCGGATTAATAAAGGGACTAAGCCGAAAAGAAAATGAATGAATGAATTCATTCACTTGTTCATTAAGTCACAGACTGATTACTCACTTGCTCACTAATTTATTCACTCAGTCACTCACTCATTCTTTCATACTCATTTGTTCATTCATTCATTTGAGCGCTGCCCCACATCAGTGTCTTGATAATGGTGTAAATATATATATATATATATATATATATATATAATTTTTTCTTTTTTCAAAACATTTCTTACATGCACTTTGTTGTCTTTCTGTCTCTCAGGACTATGAGTACCCGAACCACCCTCAGACCCCTCAGCACCAGAAGAACGACCGCTGTCCTCCGCCACCGCAAATGCTGCCTGAGCGAGCCTGTGAGGTGCCTGGCTGTCGATCCGATTCTGAATGTGAGAGACACAAACGCTGCTGCTACAACGGCTGCATCTACGCCTGCCTGGAGTCTGTTCAACCTCCGCCCGGTGAGAAAACACACACATCTGCTCACTAATCAATAGACACAACACACATCTGCTTTAGAATTACAGTGCGATATGGATTTTACTGTGAGTTTCTGAGCAGAATGTGTACAGGCTGAATCATGAGAACTTTTGGCCTTGCTGGTATTGTGTATTGATTTGTCTATGCTTAGTGCTGGACTGGTTGGTGCAACCCAAGCCGCGGTGGTTGGGAGGGAATGGCTGGCTTTTAGACGGGCCCGAGGAAGTTCTGCAGGGTGAGTATTGATTAATCAATCAATTAATGCATGGAGGTGTGGCACTGACTCACTATTATTTGTTGCTGGATCTTACTCAGGTTTGACACCGCATTGAATTTTATTTGATTAAGGGAGTGAAAGGATCATTTTTTAAAATCTAATTTCTAATATAATATAAATATACAGTGGACAGCACGGTGGCGCAGTGGGTAGGACAATCGCCTTACAGCAAGAAGGTCGCTGGTTCGAGTCTCGGCTAAATCAGTTGGTGTTTCTGTGTGGAGTTTGCTTGTTCTCCCCTTGTTTGCGTGGGTTTCCTCCGGTTTCCCCCAAAAGTCTAAAGATATGAGCTAAAGGTGAATTGGGTGAGCTAAAATGGCCGTAATGCATGTGTGTGAATGAGTATGGATGTTTCCCAGTGATGGGTTGCAGCTGGATAAAACATGTGCTGAATAAGTTGGTGGTTAATTTCGCTGTGGCGACCTCTGATTAATAAAGGGACTAAGCCCTAAAATATACAGTCCTCAGCATAAATAAGGACCCCCCACAAATCTCTCATTTAAATTAACATTCTCTATAGGATGCTTTACAATATTCAATTTGTGCATATACATTAGACTAGTTTGTATACTTAAGCCAAATCGGGAGCTATTTTAACAAAATAATTTACAATACTGGTTTAAAAATTAGTAGCCCAAATTTATATGTCAGGGGAAAATAATAAATAAAATTTTCAAAAACAGCAAAAAAAAAAAAAAATATATATATATATATATATATATATATATATATATATATATATATATATATATATATATATATATATATATATATATATATATATATATATATATAGTTGAAATCGTAATTAATAGCCCCCCTGTATATTTTTTCCCCAATTTTTGTTTAATGGAGAAAAGATTTTTTCAACACATTTCTAATTATAACAGTTTTAATAACTCATTTCTAATAATGGATTTATTTTATCTTTGCCATGATAACAGTACATTATATTTTGCTAGATATTTTTCAAGACACTTTTATACAGCTTAAAGTGATTTTTAAAGGCTTAACTAGGTTATAGGTTAACTAGGCAGGTTAGGGTAATTAGGCAAGTTATTGTATAATGATGGTTTGTTCTGTAGAATATCAAAAAAATATATAGCTTAAAGGGCCAAATAATTTTGACCTTAAAATGGATTTATTAAAATGAAAAACTGCTTTTATTCTTGCCGAAATAAAACAAATAAGACTTTCTCCGAAAGAAAAAATATTTTCAGACATACTGTGAAAATGTCCTTGCTCTGTTAAACATCATTTTTTTGGAAATATTTAAAACAAGAAAAAAAATCAAAGAGGGGCTAATAATATATATATATATATAAATAAATACATAAGGGTTAGACACACTGGGGTTTGTGAATGTTTGAGAATTCAGGGGGTTTGTGAAAGATTTATAAAAATTTAAATGTTATTTATTTTAAGACATTTTATTTTACATTTTGTATTTATTTTAAAATCGTTTAAATAAATACAAATCAAAATGTAACTGTAAAAATAAATATAATAACTGTAAAAGTAATGTAATAAATATTATATAAATGTATAAAATAAAACATCTTTCTCTGAATAAAAAAATTGTTTAATAATTACATAAGAATTCCTAAAACACAATTATATTATAATTTTTTATTTTATTTTAAAAATCTCTAAAATTATGTTTCATATTATATAATTATATGTATTTGGTATTATATTACAATTCGTTTGAATATCAAACTATATAGAAATATAATTTTTATATTATCTAAATCTATTTTTGACTGCCTTTTTTTTCAGGTAAGCAAATAGCATATTTCTATTTTTATGAAATGTTTTGTAATATGTTAAACTATATAAATATATTTTAATAACTTATTTTTCTGTGACACATTCTATTGTATTGGTCAGGATATATCCTGACATCATGTATGTAAATGTAAAATCATGTATTCCTATACAATGGCATTTATGACCATTTCTAGCAGCAACACTGCCATCTGCAGGAGGATTACTGTTATTACTACCCAGAACACATGAATCTATGTATGTAAGCAAGTACTATGTGCTTGTACTGTACTGTATATGTGTGTACATGTATGCATTTATCTGAGTATAAAATTGTTGTTTAAATTGTTCTATTTGTTTATAATTTATTTTTATGCAGTTTTTGCATCTGTTTATCAATTATTTATATTTTATCTGATATTGATGTTCATTCGTTTCTTTTTCTTTTCACCTCAGTCCCTTTATTAATCAGGAATTGCCACAGCGGAATGAACTGCCAACTTATACAGCATATGTTTTAGGTAGTGGATGCCCTTCCAGCTGCAACCCAACACTGGGAAACACTCATACACACTCCCTCACACACTATGGACTTGTGAGGGAAACCCATGCGAACACGGGGAGAACATGCAAACTCCCCACAGAAATGCCAACTGACCCAGCTGGGCCTCGAACCATTGACCTTCTTGCTGTAAGGCGATCATGCTACCCACTGGGCCACCGTGACGCCCTGATATGTTGTTTGTTCATGAAGCACTTCTTTGTCTTTATGTGTAGCTGAAGCCTGCAGCACCACTGAGGATGGAGATGAGCCTTTGCTCTGTCCCACCGGATACGAGTGCCACATCATCAACCCAGGAAACCCCTCCGCTGGCATCCCAAACCGAGGACAGTGCATCAAACAGAGGGGAAACTCAGGTCTGACTTCATTCTTACTGTACATCCATTCACTCACTTATACACTATTAAGTGCATCTATCATACTACACATTAAGTGTAGTGTATCTATCATTCACTAGATACTATTAACAAGTTTATATTCACTTCAGATCAGCAGATTGTGTCATTAATATGTTTTAAATGTAAATATATTCTTTTTAGATGGACGAAGTCTGAGACACAAGTCCTTCAAAGATTATAAGGATTATACAGGTTGGTACGATCACCTTTTCATATGGTCTTTCTAGGGCTGGGAGGGAAAGATTAAATCTGACATTAGACTCACAATGAAATGATTCTTTCTTCATCAGGAAGTAACTCAAACAATGCAGTGAACTATGAGAAACATCAACATAAGCATTTGGGGTGAGACTGGTGAGTGGAGATTTACTGTTGGATGTTATTCATTTGGCAAGACACTGCAGGTGCATAAAGTGTAAAAAAAAATCATATATGTATCACCGTATTTCCAAAGACAATTGAATGCAATGAGAATTGCAAACATTTATATTTAACGTTATTTAAATGTCGACCCCACTATTTTAACATAGACATGAAAATGACATTCACTTTAAATGTCTTGTTTAGATTTAAGCTTGGTCTCATTTTTAAAAAGACACTTGTCAGAGTAAGGCTAAAAAAAGTTCAAAAAGTTAAACAAAATAAGCGTTATGTGCCTTCAAGTTTATGAAAATAATAAAACGATAAATGTACATTTTATTATATTACAAATGAATTATACAAAACCAGTTTTAGCCTAAATTTAACAGTAAATCAAAGCTAAATATATCCCAAATTTGAAATTTCTAAAAAAAAAAATTGCTGTCAAATTTTGTTTGGCTGCAGTACCAAACATGACCACCAGATGACATCCAGTTTCTGTTGGTGACCGCATTTCTTTATGTTTTGAGGAATATGAACCATATTCATTCATACTTTTGACAGTATTTTTAAAGTAGCCAGTAGGCGGTTTGGTGGTATTTGATTTAAATGTAGTCTCTAAAGTAACATCTAAACAAGTGTTACTTTGGATTGCTGTACTGTAGCAATGTAATGCATTATAACTCTGATGAGTACACTTGTCACAAATTACAGTTTTCCTCTATTGGTTTGAAATTACATTCTCAAAATTCTAAGATCATTTGGCAAAATTGTTACAGTTTAGCAAAACACTATATGGCTCACTTGCAAAAGCTCAAACCTTTCCCAAAACAGTTCATGTGTCAAAACTAAATTTCCTTCTCATTTAAACAGTCAGTGCCCCCAAAATGCTTCGTCCTTTTAGCACTGTGTAAGCACTGCAAGTCAAAATGTTTAGATGCTTTGTCATTATGGCAAAGGACCCCTAAAATATCCATCATGTATTCAGCACAGTCCTTCATTGACAATGATTACTTTACTGTTTTTGTCTAACATAATGCAATTGTGTAAAAAATTGAAAAAAAGAAATAGGATGGTCCCACAGGTTGTAGTGTGACAGTAAATGTGTTGTGATATCTTACTTTTCCTCGATCTCTTCCTACATAACAAAACATTGGTTAAATATGTATTCAGAAGACGTAGACCTTTCCAACGATATATAGTTTGTCATTATCGGGGCGATGATAGTGAAGAAGTTAAACACGCAAATGATGTATTAATTAATTAAATATCTGCTACTTTGCATATAATTCTAGCACAAAATATGAATATTGGTGGTAGTTTGCTAAAAAATTGTGTTTACATATTTAAAATCAAAAGATTTTAGATGAGATTTATTTACTGCCATAATTCATAAAATGTTACATTTTCAAATTTGTTTCTAGAATTAAAAAATGTAGTTTAGTTGGTGCAATATAGTGGTTAGCGCGCCGACATATGATGCAGTTTCACGTCAGGGTGTCCCGAGTTCGAATCCCGGCTCGAGGACATTTCCCTACACCTTCCCTCTCTCTCCAACTTCGCTTCCTGTCTCAAAACTTCCTATCAAATAAAGGCAAAAAATAAATCTTTAGAAAAAGATGTAGTTTACTCAAAAATAAATTTCTTTTATTCATCGCAAAACATGATATTCTGAAGATTGCTTCAAAAAAACCTTTAGTAGGAACAAAAAAAAAAAAAGATCCACAGGATTATAAAATACTATGAAAGTAAATGGCTGTTTGTTTCCAACAATCTGCTTTAGTTCAACAGAAGACGGCAAACTGTATACATTTTTATCAACAATTTCTTTACATTCTTTTATTCCAGTATCAATCAGACTGTTGAACACTAATCAGTAATGTGTATGTATGTGTTTTATGTGCATGTGTTTAATGCTTTACTGTATCGGGCAATGCTGAAATGCTTATGAGTTCACAAAAAATGTCCACCTTAGGGGACTATAAAGTATACAAACAAACAACCAAACATAATTATATGCAATCATATATAATCAGGCAACTTTTTCTGTAAAAACCTTTCAAAAATACTGTAGATATGGACAAAACTTTAAAGCTGACGCACAGTGTGTAAGTGCTGTTGAAGTAGTGATTTGTGGCTAAGTGCAGAAGAAAACTAATGTTGATAAATAGCCTCTGAAAAAATACTGTAATTAAAAGTTACAGACACTAATTAATAAAGTGTGATTATATATACTATTAAATATGTATTTTGGTTGTTTCTTTCCATTAGATTTTTTTAAATGTGCAGTGTTTTATTGTGCTTCTTTTTTATTATTATTATTTAGGTGTGGGATCCATTATTGGGGACTGTAGTACCCAGTAATCGCTGACCCTAAGCTGAACCCCATTATCAAATCCAACACAACTGGACAAGCCTTTCTCTTCAGTCTAAAGCAGAGACTGGATCATACAGTATCTGGTGCTTTTCTTAGGTCCTTAATGTGGACTGACAGAAATACAAAGCTAAATATTTCCTACCTCTAACAAAAGCCAAAACCATACAGGAGAAAGTCTTATAACTGTGGTTTTTATGCTGCTGAACTCGTTGTTTTGCTTTTTTTCCCCCTCATTTTTGATTTAAACATCAAAATAAGTGTCTTGTTAAATATCTCTCTTCTTCTCATGGAGGCAACTTTTATTAGATCAAAAATACAATATTTAATATGTTGATTTGTTGATTTGCTGCTCTGTTATGATCATTTATTATTGGTGCTTAGTCGTTGATAATGGTGCTTATTTTCTGCTTCATATTTTGTGGAAGCTGTGATACATTTTCCTCTTCAGGATTATTTGATGAATAGAAAGTTCAAAATTAAAAGCATTTATCTGGAGGAAAAAAATGCAGACATTTCAAATCAGTTTAATGTGTGTTTGATCAATAAAGTGTTAATTAACTTTTTGTTGTCTTGTTTTTAAATGATGCTTAACACAAATATACATCCACAAAATATGAGACAGCAAAACTGTTTTCAACAATAATCATAATAAATGTTTCTTGAGCACCAAATCTGCAAATATTAGTAATTTGTAAAGAATCATTTGACACTGAACACTGGAATAATGATGTTATAATGATGAATCACGCAATTAAATTCATTCATTCATTTTCACAGCGGAATGAACCGCCAACTATTCTGGCATATGTTTTATGCAGTGGATGCCCTTCCAGCCGCAACCCAATACTGGGAAACACCCATACACTCTTGCACTAACACATGCACTATACTGCTAATTTAGTATATTTAATTGACCCATCCCGCATGTCTTTTGGACTGTTGTAAATTGAAATAATATTTCACTTTATTTCTTTTTTGTTGTATTTTTGATCAACTAAATTCAGCCTTGGTGAGCAGAAGCAAAAACTTTTCAAAGTAGTTTTCATATTAGAATTGGGTCACCATAACCAAATTCAATTTCAGCTGTGTACTGCATTACTGCGAAATATTTGTTTTTCATATGGTGCTCCAATCAATAACTGCGGTTGTTGTTGTTGTTGTTGTTTACTCACAAGTGCAGATGTGTTTTACTCCACGGATGTCTGATAAGCTACACAAATCTGACTTGTGGAAAAAAACACATTACAGCCTACAAAATATTGTACATTGGTGCTTATTGACTGCCTTGTACTTTCAAATAAAACAGTTGACAAAGTATATATCTGTGTTTTATTGTGTCATATACAGTATATTGTGGTGTAAAGTCTGGGTCAGAGACGTCTCATGTGTGAAAATCTCTTCAATAAAATGAAACAGATAAAATTTGAAAATTAAAATAAAATGAAATAGACAGACAGACAGACAGGCAGGCAGACAGACAGACAGACAGACAGACAGACAGACAGACAGACAGACAGACAGACAGACAGACAGACAGACAGACAGACAGACAGACAGACAGACAGACAGACAGATAGATAGATAGATAGATAGATAGATAGATAGATAGATAGCATATTATACCTAAAATGCCTAATTAAATGTTTTAATGAACTTTTATGAAAGTGAAATAACATGGATGAAATAATGTTGCCACTCAATGTAACATATTTATGTTCAAATGAAACTAAATATTAGGTATATAATATGTATATAGTAATTATGTATATAAGAAAATATTTATATAATTCTTCATGCATTCACTTTCCTTCAGCTTAGTCCCTTTATTCATCAGGGGTCGCCACAGCGGAATGAACCGCCAACTTATCCAGCATATGTTTTACACAACGGATGCCCTTTCAGCTGCAACCCAGTACTGCAAAACATACACACTCATATACACACATACAATCATGCAAATTTAGCTTATTCAATTCACCTATAGGACATGTCTTTGGACTGTGAAACCAGAGCATAGAGAAAACCCATGCCAACATGGGGAGAACATGCAAACTCCACACAGAAATGCCAACGGACCCAGCCAGGACTAGAACCAGTGACCTTCTTACCTGCCTATAAGAAAATATGTATAGAATTATTCTTATTTTATTATTATATTTTAATTTGTTATCATTGAAAATTTTTGCTGACAAAAATTCAAAAGTTAGCTTTGAATTGTAACTGAAAATCCTGTTGTTATTTACTCTCTCTTGCCTTCACTTGTCACAAACATGTTTGTTTCTTTCTTCTGTTACGGTATACTTCTGAATTTGTTGTTAAAAAAATGTTGAAAACAACAGGTGAAAGGTTTCCAACATTCTTCAAAATAGCCTTTTCACATCTTCTTTTGTGTTCAACAGAAAGAAGAAACTCACGAAGGTTTCGAACCACTTGAGAGTGAATAAATTATGAGTCAATTAAAGTTTTGGGGTGAACTATACTTTTAAGGTTAAAATACTGTAATATTTTGGTAGGCCTACTGTAATCCTTAAATGGGGTCGTTTAATATGTCATAAAAAACATTTGGAACAGTAAATCTTGTTACACTGTCTCTGGTTGTGTTTTTGCATTTCCTGTATTGTTCCTTGATATGGCTGATATCTGAATTTGTAATATGACTTTATATAATAATGTTTCAAAGCTTAAAATAATAAAAATATTGTTACACTGAATGACAATGAGTGTCTTCTATGAAAAATTGGAAAAATGATTAAGTCTATTACACATAACTTTCTGAGGCTTAAACCCCATTTTCTTCTAGCCAACATGCGGTTCAAAAGGTCTCTCGCTTTTTATGAGGTAATATTTAGCCTCATTATATCTTAAGAAAGAGAATAAAATAAAATTTCTATCAATTTATTTCATATTATGTCAAGTAACCAAGACTTTTGGGTTTCTTAATGTAGGTTGTAACTAGAATAAAAGTTTTTGAGCCGTATTCCAATTAGTATAGTACTTATACGACAGCTTTTGTGATTATTTTTGTAATTTTGTTATATTAAGTTGCATTATTAATTAACTCGCGCTTCGTTTGAATAATGAAAAGTATGCTATTTCGAGCGCAGCCACTGTGATTCATAAGGCTTTTATTTTGAAATCAATATTTTACTTCCATTCCGGGTCAAGGGAATCAACGTGGTGCATCCTTGCAGCTCAACGTGCGCTGGTTGTGAATGGTAAAACATCCGAAAGAGAGAGAGAGAAAACATACAAAACGAGGGTAAGAATCGAGATTGTACATCTGTACCTATATTCTGCTTTAACGGAGCATAAGAATAAACAATGTGCCATCAGTAACTTAGTTTACTAACTTTAGCTACAGGGACAAGCCAGAACATGATGTCAGTAGCGAAGTTTTCAGATGGATTTGCACATGTTCGATATTTCAACAGTTAACTTGACACTTGAAGTTAAATTAAAAACTAGGCTCTTACAATAATTTATATGCCAGACTTCGCAATAAGGTTCCGTTTTTTAACAATTGTAAACATGAGCTGTCAATGAAATGTAGCTGTTACAGCATCTTAAATGTCATTGTTAATATCAGAATTTATTATTAAGGTTACCAGTTAATACAATATAAATCAACATCTTTCATTCATTAGCAGCAGCAACAAAAGTGAATAAATAGATACTGTACAAATATAATGTTAGTTCATGTTAGCTGTCATCAAATAAGCTCTTATTATAAAGTTTTATCAGGATTGAGGGAAAATTGGTTTTATATACACACATTCGTTAGTTTTTGTAAACAGTAACAGACTTCATAACAAAATTAACATTAACGTTATTCAATTGTCTGAACAATGTTGTTCTTTGATAGTAATTGGCTGCCAATGTAATTTCCCTATTTTGAATTTGCAATTAATACTTTTCTGAAATTATATTATTAAGGAGAATATAAAACCAACTTTGTTTCAATCAGATTGCTGTATTAACCAGTGAACTCTGATTTAAGTACTAGATCAAAATTACTCCTATTTGATATACAATTCTTATGATTTTCTCAGGTCAGCGATGGGGGAGTTTAAAGTACACCGAGTTCGGTTCTTTGAATACGTGCCATCAGGAATTAGAGCTTTGGCTTTCAACCAGCACAATGAAAGAATGGCAGCTGCGAAGATGAATGGGTCAGTGGAGATTTTCCACTGTTCGGACCGATTTTTCCAAGAGAAGGTATGTAAGATTTCTTCTGAAAGGGATAGTTCATTAAAAATGAAATTTTACTCACTATTTGCTAAAGTTTCTTGATTCTGCTGAAAACTAAAGAAGATATTTTGAAGAAAGCTGAATACCTTTAACCTTTGACTTTCATTGTTAGAAAAAAATTACAATGGTTACAGGTTTCCAGAGATAAAGTTGGCTTTATATTCAAACATTCCTTCAGTGACAACTTTTGATACGCTTCCTATATTGTTTACCTTGGCACTTTGAATATTTGGTCTAAAATAACGTGCAAGTAAGACTTGAAAACCATATTAACACTGAATATTTGACTGTGAACAATGATGTACTTTGCTAGTCAATGTTGTACTTGGCTGCTAATATGATTTTGCTATTTAGAGTTTGCAAATAATAATTATATGAAATTATATTATTAAAGGGAAAGTGCGAATATAAAACCAACTTTACTTCTATCGGGTTTCCAGCTTTCTTCAAAATATCTTTTGTTTTTAACAGAAGAAAGAAACTCAAACTGGTTTGGAACTAGTGAAGGGAGAGTAAATGATGACAGAATTTTAGTTTTTGAGTGAACTATCCTTTTATGTTCTGGACACCAAAGCCATATTGATTTAAAAAAATGTGACTTTTATATTTAGAAACTTAGACTTTACTATAGCATTTTCATACTGTTACTCTGATGATTTGAAGTGCTTTTTTTTTAATCCTCACTTGTAAGTCGCTTTCGATAAAAGGATCTGCTAAATGAGTGAATGTAAAAGTTTTTTGACCAACAGTTTGTTAAAGGTGTGTTTCCTTTGTCCACAGATCATCCCGGGCAGAGAGCAGGCTGGGATTGAAGGCCTTACCTGGGTTGGGGAGCGTCTGTTTAGTGCAGGACTGAATGGTGTGATAACAGAGTATGATCTTACAAACCAGAGGGTGAAATACACCATAGATGCGTATGGAGGGCCAATCTGGGCCATAACAGGCAATCAACAAGGAACACACTTGGCGGTAAGTTTGGTTTGTTTACTACGATCATGTATTCAATAATTCAAAAACATTAGACCCCATCTTCTGTGACACTTAATGTATGAATTCCATTGTATTACATAATGAATTTTGCTGACAGTTATTGAACTAATTTAAATCTGCAGTGGATTTACTCATGTTGAACAGCACTGTTGTCACTTGTAGGGCTAGTTATAGTAAAACTGACCAATTTTTGTACTTTTAAAGGGATAATTTCCCAAAAAGATAAAAATTCTGTCATAATTTACATTTTACTCGTAACAAACCACTTTTACTTTCTTTTGTTGAACACAAAAAGCTATTTTTAGGGAAGCTGGAAGCCTTTAACCATTGAACTCATAGGATTGTTTTTTTTCCTACTATGGAAGTCTGTGGTTACTGGCTTTCAGAATTTTTGTAAATATATTTTGTGTTCAACAGAATAAAGAAACGTATAAAAGTTTGTAATCACTTGAGCGTGAGTAAATTCAATTTTTTGGGTGAGCTAGATATTGAACATGGATATGTCAACGATGGCAATGTTTGCAAGAATTTAAATTTGTATTATTGATATACTGGGCTTGATTCACAGGATGTGACAGTATTATTATTTTAAACAGATGGAAAGGAAGCAGTAGTTTAATTATACAAATGTTACATATATTGTTAATTTGCTCATAAATTTAAGTTTGCAGCACTGGAGGGAAACCGTTTGTGTGGAATAAGGATATTTGTCAAAGAATCATCGATAAAGCTATATGTAAACAAACAAATAAAGATAATTTATTTTACAGAAAGATACCATAAGTAAAACTTTTGAAGTTTTTAAATCTTTATGTTTGCAGGTTGGTTGTGAAGATGGAACTGTGAAACTATTTGAGGTGACTGAAGACAAAATACAGTTTGAGAGAAATCTGGACAGACAGAAAGGTGAGATTGTTGTTCAGCCTCTGTTTTTCAGCCTCTGTTTCCACCTGCCATTATTGTCATTGTGTTCAGATGGGTTTCTTGTATGTTAGATTTCTTAGATTTTTCACCTTTCTCTCTGTTGAATGAACTATGTAATATGTTTTTGGGCGAGCAGAAATTTAAGTAAATTAAAA